CTCTGTCCCCCAGTCCTAGCCATAAATCCGTGCGTGTGTGCGTGCGTGCGTGCGTGTGTGTGTGTGTGTGTGTGTGTGTGTGTGTGTGTGTGTGTGTGTGTGTCTGTTTACCCTTTCATCAGCATATCAAATGGGCTCACTACCTAGAGCAGTGGTTCTCAACTTGCAGGTCTTAATCCTTTTGGGGGGGAGTGAATGACCTATCACAGGAGTCATCTAAGACCATGAGAAATACAGATATTTACATTATGATTCATAAAAGCAGCAAAATTACAGTTATAAAGTAGCAATGAAAATAATTTTATGGTTGGGACTCACCACAACATGAGGAACTGTATTAAAGGGTTGCAGTGTTAGGAAGGCTATCGGAGAACCACTGCGCTAGAAAGTGTTTGAAACTCTTCTAGAAGAACCGTAGGTGTAGATGACGTGATCTAACTAATACAGAAAACCCCAAGTGGAGGTTACCCACGTCCAGGTTGGGTGGAAGTGGTTGTGTGAAGATTTGCCTGACAAGAGCCTACACCACAGAGCCACACAGGAACAAACACTCCACCAAACACCCAGCTAGATGTCCGAGTGGATGTCGGGGTTCTGGGAAGATAGATTTAAATGGAGAAGTGGAAGCTGGAAGATGGAGAAGCCAGGAGCCTTGTTACACGATATGGAGAATCAAGAGCTGGGTTCCTGAACTTGGCGAGAACACGGTTCTCAAGAGGGACCGGATAAAGGCAAGGCTACAATGGGTAGACTTTCCCATGGGTAGAGAGATTCCCTGAGCTACTAAGGAAAAACATGACTATAAAGAGTTCAGAGCGGGACATGCTGTCCAGCAATGAACAGAGAAAGAAGAGGGAGCCTTCCTTCACAGCAAAGGTGTTTAAGACCTTGATGTCCACAAATTCCACCTTGGGACAAGGGAAAGGCAGGGAGCTTGAAAAGAATCCTTGGTTCGTGTCAGATGTGGAGGAAAGTCATGACATTCAGTTATGACATTTAATTTCAGAAGAAGGGATCCTCTCATAATCACACATACACCCTGAGTTGTTGGGGGGCAAACTCATGAGGGAAGATAACCACAGAGCCATGAGCAGGTATGTGGAAAATGTCATGTTATTATTATCATGAGTATTCTTTTATTATATATCTCTCAGGTCTCAAAATATGACATGATTCTAAACCCCAAACTCCCTTTCTTACAGCACCACGTAATCCTCACACTTAGAATGAGATGATCCCTGGGTGTCCTGAACCACTAGACCACATCTTCTTGAAGGCAGGAGCAATGCCTACCCTCGAGTGTCTTCTGGGCCTGGTCCATGACTGTACACTGAACATGTTCCACAGGAAAGTGCTGACTATGGAAGGTTAGGCAGGACCGAATGCACACTGCTGCCATGTAGACAGGGGAAATGACACTCAGAGAGGCATCTGATTGTAATCAAGGCTGTGTGGCTACGGTGGAGGAGTGAGGTAGAAACAGGACCTCCTAGGCTGGAATCCACCTCCAGTCCTCACATCCCAGCCCTGCCCCTCACCCCACCATGAAGAAACCACACAAGCTCATTTGCCTAGGTCAATACAATAACAAGACTCCAGAGGACATGAAAATGAAAAGCACAACAGTCTCTAGGGACCCCACCCTACTGACCCCACCACTATCCTGCAGCTTCTGCTGGGGATGTGCACGGAGGGCTTCTTGCCTTATATCCCAGGGAGACTCAGCTTGAAGGGGTGACAGCTTGAAGCCACACTGATGGTGAACAGCCATAGCTATGTCGGTCCCTGGTAAGTCCCTGTGGGTCAAGGCAGTCAGTGCTATACCGGGAGGCCATGGAGGACAGTAGCTTAGTGTTGCAGGGTGAGAGTAGGGTTGGGAAAGACCTTGGAAGATAGAGCTTGAACTGGCCTCTGAGGGAGGAATTTTCTGTTCACCGGGTGGATAGAGAAAGGGAAGAGCTGGGGAGATGAAACAGTATCTTCATAGCTGAGGTCTGAACTTCCCAAGAGAAAGCAGGAGGCTGGACCTAGGCTGGGGGTGGATTTGAGATCTCCCATCACCATAGCAATGTGATGTAGGAGGCCCCCTAAGGCCAAGCTCCATTGACCAGAATCTGGGACCCAAATGATAGTTAGGAGCCTCAAGCTCTGAGCTATGAAAGTTATCTACTTTTCATTTATCATCCCCTTGTAATGTCTATGCCTTGAACGCACAGAAGTCACCTAACATATAATCCCAGTTATCCAAAAGGTAATTGCCAGCCAAGAAAAAGAAGAAAAATGAGGAGGAAGAGGAAGAGGAGGAGGAGGAGGGGAGAGAGAGAAAGAGGTGTACTTGACAACTACAGGCTGCCACTGGAACTTGCTCCTGTCTTGTCAAGAGCAGATACTAGAGTCAGCCTAGGCCTGGCATTTTTCTGAGTGGCTTCAGCACCCGTTTTCTTATCTGCGAAGTGGGGGCGATGGCTACAGCTATCTCAGTGGGGATATCAATATGAAAGGGCACAAAGCACTTAGCATGGTGCCCAATACACCACAGAATTGTAGCCAAAGGGAGAAAGTCACAGAAGGATGAAAGAGAAATTGGTGGGAAATGTATCAGAAGCAGGCCCCAGGGGTGAAAGAAAAGGGCGGGTTAGAACTAGTTGATCACATTCTGGAGACGTTACTATATAGGACCTGGTGTGCTCTACTTAACAAAGCAGCCAACACTGTCTTTAAAGCAAGATACTGTAGGGCCAGGCATGATGGTGCATGCCTTTAATCCCAGATGAAAAGCAGTTCAAAAAGCACTTGGGAGTAAGAGGCAGGCAGATCTCTATAAATTCAAGGCCATCCTGGTCTACACAGTGAGTTTCAGGTCAGCTAGGGGCCATGCTGTGAAATTGTCTTTAAAGCAAAGCAAAGCAAACAAAACAAACAAACAAAAAAACTAGACATCACAAAAAGGTTGGTGCTTATGAGGTATAAGCTTTTAAATGTATGCAGAATAGGAAAATGACATGATTCTGTGTGTACCCATGTACCTCTAAAACGTTTCCCTAAATCTGTAAAATATACCCTGTATTAACAGACTGTAAGATGCTATTAATTGTAAACATCGTTTTGTGTTGACAAGGAAAAAACACTGGGGCTCATTATAATTGTAATATGTTAACTTTAACATTGTAAAGTGGGACATAGCAGAACTGCCTGTGATCTCAGCACTTGGAGTTCAAGGTCAGTCTCAGCTATATACTGAGTTGGAGGTCAACATGGGGTCCAGACTGAGATTGTCTCAAAAACAAAACAAAGCAAAACAAAACACAAATAGACAGAGCAGGGGAGAAGGTTTCCCTCCAAGCTTGACAACCTGAGTTTGTTCCCTGGAACTCTCAAGAGTAAGAGAGAACTGGCTTCCTCAAGTTGCCCTCTGACCTCCACATATACCATGACAAGCATGCACATGTACACTCACACCCACAAAATAAATAATAATGTTTTAAATAATAACTGGTATATAGAAATAAAATGTGAACACATGTGCATCTCCAAATTAGGATAAGTCCTTATATGTAATATGCATTGCTCTTCCATTCTTCTATGGCAAATGTGAGAACTCACACCAGGCTACATATGCACATATACATAGGCCATAGTTCAGCCCCTTGTTTAGATGAGACTCTTTAACTAAAGCTGCTCTATGCACTTGTAAGAAACATAAGTGGACAGCCGGGCGTTGGTGGCACATGCCTTTAATTCCAGCACACAGTAGGCAAAGGCAGGCAGATCTCTGTGAGTTCCAGGCCAGCCTGGTCTACAGAGCGAGTTCCAGGACAGCCTCCAAAACAATACAGAAAAACCCTGTCTCAAAAAACCAAAAAAAGAAAAAGAAAGAAACATAAGTGGGCATCTCCTGTGTAGCTCTCGCTGCACCTGTCTCCTTTCATTTCCCACATGGCCCTGTAGATCAGAAGTATACAGCCCATTTTACAGATAAGGAGACTGAGACAAGCAGAGGAATGTCATATACCAGGACTTGACCTGGCTGGAACTCTGGTCTCTATTCCAGCTGACACATGGTTCCCAAGCTACAGCTCCACCAGCATGGCTTATTTAAACTTGGAAAGCCGTGTGCACAGTTGGGGCCCGAGATTCTGTTTTGACAGACATTGCAGGAGTACAACACTGCTCTGGGAACCTGACCCTACCAAGTGGTCCACAGCAGGCAGAGAGCAAAGCCCAAAGCAGGGGACAGCCATTCAGAAAAAGCTTCCAGGTGGAGTTGGCTTGCTTCTAGCTCCCCAGTTGCCAGAAGCCACCCCTCCTCCCGTAGGAGGCTTAACTCACTTCATACCACATCCTGCTGCTTTCATCTTGCCTTCCTTTTCCCTCTGAACGCCTCCTTCCTCCTACTGTCCTGAACCTCTTGCATATCTACCGCCACCACCCTCGGATTGGCCATCGTGCCAGCACTGGAGCACACACGCGTGTATGCGCACGTACATCCATATATTCAACACGCGTGTCTCCAGCGAGTAAACAATGATTCTCTGACAGTGTTTGGCGCGCAATTCCCTAGAAAAGCAGCTGTGTCTGAGGGTCCACGCTCACTAATATGGGGCAGCCTGAGACTCAACTGAGAACAACGCCCAGATCCTGATGCCAAAGGACTCTTGTTGTCCACGCTCCCCAAAGAGTTCAGAGACAGAGGACTACAGGTTCCTTAACTCCAGAGCACAGGGTGACCTGTGACCCAGCAGGAAGGCTGCGCACACACTTGATCTCATAGATACTTAAATCTTGATGAGCAGTCCCGGGACGCCCCTTCTGCTTCTGGAACAACCCACCCATGGGTTTTATGCTCCGTGTCCCCGAGGTGGACTTTAACTGCGGAACTGGAAGACCGCAAAACTGTCCAGTTGCAGTTGGGGCACATTGCTTCAGGATGGTCGCAACCTTCTCTGGCTCGAGCTCTCACGCGTACCCTCAGCACCCCCCCTGACTGCCCAGCCACACACCTGTAGTCCCCTCCGGGCGCCGAGCCCCTTTCCAGCGGCGAGTCCCTGGTGTTAGATTAAGGCCCAGATCACCGCGCTGCGCTGTGCTGCGGCTGGAGTCCCAGCATCTGTCCTGTCTCTACAACCCCTGGAGGCGGTGCCGTAGGGGCGGGGCTTGTCAGGGGCGTGGTCGGGGCAGAACTAGCCGCCCTGCCGGCCTCTCTCGCCCTCTGGTGGCCGGGTCGCTTCAGGCCGGTACCATCAAAGCAACTGAGAAGTTAGCTTGAGTTGGGACCCCCACCTCCCTGGGAACTACAGGCCTCGGATGGTATACCAGTACTGAGCATCACAGCCCTGCAAGAGTAAAGTGAGGTTCGGGGGCGGGGAGGGGGGGACGGAAGAGCGTTTCTGTTTGCGCAGGAGGGGTGGGTGGGGGCTTCGGGGAAGGAGGAGAAAGAGGAAGCTCGGATGAGCTGCTTCCTTCTCGCATTGCGACCCAGCGCCCCACTTCCTCCTCCTACTTCTATTTTTTTTGGGTGCTCTTAACCCTTAAAAGGTCTGCACCCCTGCTATGTTGATGAATGCTCTGACTACAGGGACCTTCCTAGAAACATCCAGCCAATCCAAACTTCCGGCACTGCTTCTCCAGTCTCTGGTCCCATGTGCCACCACCTCTTCATAGCACCAGAATCTCTTGTCCCTTCCCCTAGGTCCCACCTTCCCTGGAGTAGGTCCAAAACCGACCACAAGGTCATACGTTATTGTTGGTCAAAAGCCACAGCCCTACCTGAAGCCTAACGTGAAAACCCAATGACTTTTCTTTTCCTGGCTCCCTAAATACCAAGAAAAAGTGACTTCCCCAAATGGACAGAAACAGAAAGTACCCTTTGGGCAGGCGCAGAATTTGGAAGTAGATGGGAAGGGGCTCAATGTCCATCATGAACCTGTCCATGGTAAACCTCCTCTAACCACCCGTTTACAGGTGGGGAGCCCAGCCCTGGTCAATATGGTCCGCACAACTGTCTCCCCAACTCTACTTTGTTCAGCACAAATATGCTGGCGTTTGTAGGAGGAAGAGAAGAGGGACTGAGGAAGCAGGCTCTGCTGCGGAGTAAGGAGCAGACGAGATTGACAGTGTGTACCAGATGGAAAAGGTGGAGAAGAGAACTTTTAACAGTAAAATAAGTGCCAGAGACGTTATGAGCGGTTTGACTTCTTCTGTATCTTTGGAGGCTCAGAACCTCAGAAGCACAGCAGTGTTGCACTCTATTTCTTACTGGCAGCTGTGGCCCAGATGTTGAGTTCGAAATGACCCTCCCTTCACCACTGGGGTGTGTTGTTGTTGTCCCCGCAGGGCTGATCACTAGCCAGACCTCGAGCACCTGGCATCTTCTGGACAGAAATTAGGATGACAGCTACCAGAAACATTCCCCCAACTCAGCTGGGAAGACCCAACCTGGCTGCCTTCCAACCAGTATGCCTCTTGTGTTTGTTTGGCTTACAAGCATGGCTATTTGTGATTACAATCCTCCACTGCCTGGTGTTTTTGAAGGGTAGCCTGCCCTGTTGCGACTTCCTCATCTTACATTTATTCCACAGTGTTCTAAAAGAAGGTCACCAGGAAAACCTCAAATGCCAAATCCAGTGTGCTGGTTTTCAGACCTTATGGTTGCCACCTTTCCAAAGAAACACCCCCATCCTCCCGACCCCCCACCCCCACCCCCCTATCCCGAATTCCCATCTCCTCAGACTACTGTTTCTTGCTTCTTTTTCTCATCCTCCCTTTAAGGTTGGAATCATTGCACTCTTGCACGAGGCTGCTTCTTTTCTCCCAGAGCAGTTTTGTCTGTCTGTCCATCCCACTCGAAATGGTAGACCAGACTTCTCTCTTGAGCTGAAACTGTGAGTCTGCTGCTACTGCCTCAGAGCCTCAGTCACCAGTGTCAAGGCACCTTCTTCCCAACAGGCTCCAGCCATTAGCAGCGCTGTGCGGAGGACAAAGCTTCCAACATAGGAAGCCTGGACAGCCAGCTCCCATCCCAACTCCAGCATGTGTTCTTAGAGCTAGTGCTCTGCTCACGGTAACCAGCCCAGCACTCAGAACACCGGGAAGGGAGTCTTCACTGAGTTTTTCATCCCTCCATGCCCTTCCTTCCACAGTCTGACTTCTGTTTAGATTCCTCATCAAATCTTCACTCTGTTCTCACAGCCAGTCAGCAAATCACGTCAACCACCATTTATTCCCAGGTCAAGACCGATCCCTGGTGAGCTGGGACATAGAGACGACCAGGTGTTTGAGAAAACCTGACACAATGAGAACCAACAGCATCCACTAAATGACACTTCCCCCATCCCCCAAAGAAATGGAGGGGAAAATGAAGCATTCTGCATTTGTGTTTTCAGTGTTTGGAAGAATGTGTAAGGGTCATGGACCGAATTATTAAGAAATTGCCTAGGCTGGGTGTGGTGGCACATGCCTTTAATCCCAGCACTGGGGAGACAGAGGTGGGCAGATCTCTGAGTTTGGGGTCAGCCTGGTCTACAGTGTGAGTTCCAGGATATCCAGGGCTACATAGAGACACCCTGTCTGAAAGAATAAAGCAAAACAAACGAAAGAAAAGAAATTACCAGCAAGACCTGGCAAAAGGGTTCAGTGGGGAAAAGGGCTCTCCTCACTAACCTGACCACCATTTCTGGAACCCACAATGGAAGAAGAGAACAGATGCTTGAAGGTTGTCCTCTGGCTTCCATAAGCATGTGCCATGGCACGTATGAACCCCCATTCATGTATGTACATCACATGCACATACATGTACTCATATATTCACATCCCACACACACACACACAATTTAGAAAGAACTTACCAGCAGGCAAGTATCATCAGTGACTGGTAAATGCAGTGCACCAGGGGGCTGGAGAGAGAGATGGCTCTGCAGTAAAGAGCACTTGTGCTCTTCCAGAGGACCCCGGTTCAGTTCCCAGCACCCACCCAGCGGCTCACAACCATCTGTGACTCCATTCCTAGGAGATCTGGTGCCTTCTTCTGCCTTCCTTGGCTACCAGGCATAGATGTTGTGCACAGACATATGCTAAGGGTACACGTGAGAGTAGAACACCCATAACTAAAAAATAAAGTAAAAACTATAAAATTTTAAGTGCTAGGTGTGGTGACCCATGCCTTTAATTCCAGCACTCAGGAGGCAGAGGTCAACCTGGTCTATAGAGTGAGTTCCAGGACAGCCAGGGCGGTTACAAGAGAAACCCTGTCTCGAAAAAACAAAAACAAAACAAAACAACAACAAAAACGCTAAAAAAAAAAAAAAAGTAAATGCCGTAGGCCAACATATGATGATACATGGTTCTGTATTCAGGTCCCTTTACAAAACCTAACCTCCAACGTGATGGTTAAGAAGATGAAACCTTTGTAGTTATGATTCAGCTCTGCTTGTTCCTCCTTCATAATGAATCAGTGCTCTTATAAAGGGCGCTCAGGAAAACTTGTCACTTTGTCCCACATGAAGACATACAGAAGACCCCATCTGTGAGGAACAGGCGCATACCAGGTGTCCGCCAGCACTTTCCAGGTTAGGCTTTCTAGGCTCCAGAACAGTGAGAAATGTTTGTTGATTTTTCAGCCACTCAATGTGTGGTATTTTTGATATTGCAGCCTGAAGGGATTAAGAGAAACAGACTATTTGCTTTGTCAAATAGTTCCCCATCAGATGTGTGTAACAGTAACAGAGAGAAAACAGAAACTTACAGTGGAGAAACCAGGCAGACACACCCTATGCCAACTGAACAAAACTGACATCATCATCAGGAGTCACATGACTTAAGGGTCTGAGAAAGGTGTGTCCTTTTTGAGATGTTCTTGCCTAAAATACTTTGCCTCAGTCTAATCATGAAAAAAAATTAGACTAACCCACACCGAGAGTCATTCTATGAAGCACTAGTGTCAACATTGAGGCTCACCAAGATTGGGGTTGAAGAGCATTGACACACAATACTTAAATGTAATGAGAAATTCAAGATTGAGTCCTGGACCAAAAGAAGAACGTTTAAGGGTACCAATGGCAAAATTGGAATAAAATCTACCCACAGCATATCCAACTGGGCATGGTGGCATAGTCCAGTAATCCCAACACTGGGGAGGCTAAAGCAGGAAGGTAATTGGGTTCAAGCCCACATCGAACTACATGCAAGATCTAGTGTCAAAAACAACAACAACAAAACAATTACCTTAACTATACTAACCCTAATTTTAAAGGTTTATTTTTATGTGTATGTATGTTTTAGCTGCATGTGTGTCTGTGCAGTCCATGCATGCAGTACACTCAGAGTCCAGAAGGGAGCATCAGATTCCCTAGGACTGGAGTTACAGAAGTTTGTTAGCTGTGTGTGGAAGCTGGGAACTGAACAGAGTCCTCTGGAAAAACATCCAGTGCTTTTAACCACTGAGGTATCTCTCCAGCTCCCCAGACCGTATCTCAATGATCATATGCTATGTTCAGTCCTGATATTTGAGAGAGCTAGATGACACTTTATAAAGACTATGTATTTACAGTTTATTTTTAGCAGTCCAAATTATTTCAAAATGTAAACCAACTTTTAAAAACAAAAATTAAAATGTCCAAGTTTTAAAAAACTTCTGAAACATTTCTTATTTCATTTTAACCTAATACTAAAATCTACATGGTGAACTGAAGATGAATTCTCTATGATAAAGACACAAATTTCAACAACAATGTGGGGCAGGGGATATGACTCCATTGGTAAAATGCTTACCCAGAATGCACAAAGCCCTGGATTTGATTACCGTCACCACACAAACCAAGTGCCCATCTGTGGTCCTAGCTCTTGAGAGGTGGACACAGGAGGGTCAGAAGTTCAAAGCTGTCCTCCTGTACACAGCAAGTTAGAGGCTAGCCTGGGCTACATGACACCTTGTCTCAAGTAAAAAGAAAATAATAATGTGCTGTGACAAAGAGGGGCTTGTTGGAATAGGAGAGATGGCTCAGCAGTTAAGAGCACTTATTGTTCTTGCGGTGACCCATGTTGGGTTCTCAGCCCCCACACGGTGGCTTACAACCATCTGTAACTCCAGTTCCAGGGAATCCAACACCCGCTTCTGACCCCCTCAGGCATTAAGCCATACATGAGGTATATATGCATACATGCAGTCAAACTCTCCTATCCATAAAATAAGTAAAACTAAAAAATCACCTCACCGGCACCTGTAGCACTGACCACTCCTGTTTGGGCGTGGTCAGAGATGTGGATGCAACTGGAGGGTAGAGTGGGGGGTGTGTAGGACTAGGTCTGGGGTCCCTGACCCCAGCTCTCTCTCTCTCTCTCTCTCTCTCTCTCTCTCTCTCTCTCTCTCTCTCTCTCTCTCTCTCTCTCTCTCTCTCTCTCTCGCATCTGGTAGGGTCACAGGGAGCAGCCTGTGTGGAGGATTCTTAGAGCAGGAGCCTGCGAAATAAATTATATTTAATCTATATTTGAGCCTCGTCCTGTGAATCTTTATCTGGGCATCCACAGTAAGATTTAGGGCAGGCTGACATACCCGATGAGCCTAGGAGGATTAGAACATGTCTCAAGAGTACTAGGTAGCACGAACCTTTCACCCCAGCACTCAGAATGCAGAGGCAGGCATGTCTCTGTAAACTCTAGGCCAGCTAGGGCTACACATTGAGACCCTGTGTAAAACCCTGTGAAAAACAAACAGCAAAATCAACTGGACTAGGAATACATGAAGCACCGTCGCATACCTTCGTCTGGCTGAGGCAAGGACTTGCAAGGAGAGGAGCTTATGGGTGGCCCCGGGGTGTGAGATGAGGAGAGGCTGAGGGTCCTACCAATGTGTCTCCATTTTAAAATTCAGATTGGACACGGAGAAACTGTCAGTGTGGTCAAACGGCATCTCCCTCCCAAATCAGTCCCTTGGTGTTGCTTTCTATAAGGGTGTGACCCCTGTCCCAGGTCAGCCTCACAGGTTGATATCTGAGCCTTATGGACAAAGAGTTTCAGGGGAAGGAAAGAAGAAGCTTCCCTTGGGGTCCCTGAGGGAGGCACCGCAGAGCAGGGGCCCAAGATGGCTGGAAAGGAGCATCCCCTGGCTCTGGCCTCTCAGAGAAGAGAGGGAAGTGTGGCTTTGAAATTTCAGTGGTTTGTACTCTAGTCTGTCCAGGGAGACTGACCCCAGGACATTTATTGTTGGGAAACTCCTCAGAAATAGCCAAGAAGACCTGAGCATAGATCAGAAACATAAACATCTCTACAAGCCAGGCAGGTCAAAGTCAGGGTAGACGGGAGACGGAGATTCCTTAACATGACTTGACATTCCATGACAGCCTGGTTTATGCTTTAAATCCTCATCAAAATGGACCTCTCTCTCTCTCTCTCTCTCTCTCTCTCTCTCTCTCTCTCTCTCTCTCCCTCTTTCTCTTTCTCTCTCTCTCTCCCTCCCCCCC